TAACAAGATCTAAATAATATATAGGAGCTTCTTGGGGCAAAGTCCACAGAGAGTTGCACCACTAACACAAAGACCATGTTTTTCTGACAGTTAGAAGCCAGAAAGTGGTGGGTTCTATAATTAGAATAAATAATTGTTTGGTTTATATGTACACACACACACACACACACACACAATCCTCATGCACAAGTAATCACAAGTTTGTGGGGTCATGTGCTTCCTCCGGGCTTGGGTTTGATGTGTGGTACTGCTCTTCTCCCCAGGAGCAAGGCCCTCGAGGCTTGGCCTAGGGTTTAGGGCAGGTGGTGGCTTAAAGCCCCAACGGTTCAAATTGTTTTTTTTGTCAAACATTCTTCTAGTGGTATAGCACTGGTCTGTGCATTGCTGTACAGAGGTAACTCGTGGTTGCTGTGATACTGAACACTGCGACACTGATTGCCAAATGTGATGATGATTACTCATGGTGGACAGTGTTTGGTGGAGTGTCCCGATTAAAACAAGCCTGGAAGCTGGAGTGGGATCCACTTCTGTAATGGCTTGCCTCCGGAAACTCTATGAACAGTGCTCAGGTCTTTCGTTCATAGGGTCTCTATAAGTTGTCTGTGACTTGATGGCACCTAACAACAAACAACATCTATCTATCTATCTATCTATCTATCTATCTATCTATCTATCTATCTATCATCTATCTATCCCAAAAAACTTGATCGTACTTAAGTGAAACCTATACTTGGATCAGGAGCCAGTCATCAGAAGAGAGCAAAAAAATACTCCATGGTTCAGGATCAGGAAAGGGGTGTGCCAGGGACGAATCCTATTTCCGTACCTTTTCCATCTACAGGCTGAACAGATCAACCGAGAGGCTAGGCTCTATGGGAGGAATGTGGCATCAGGATTGCAGGAAGACTCATCAATAGCCTATGTTATGCAGATGACACAGCCCTGCTTGCTGAAACTGAGGAGGACCTGAGGTATTTGCTGCAGAAGGTCAAGGACTGCAGCCTTCAATATGGATTGAAGTTCACTATCAAGAAAACAAAGGTTCTCACCACTGGGTGGATTGGCAGCATGATGATAGACAGTGAAGAGGTTAAGATTCCTAACAGCTTTGGTTTGCTTGGCTCCACAATCAACACTCTTGGTTCCAGCAGAAAGGAAACTAAAAGATGGATTGCATTGGGAAAGTCTGCTGTCAGAGACCTCTGAAAAGCAGTAAGGTTAGTCTAGAGACTAAAATGCAACTGATCCAGGCCATGGTCTTGGCAATTATTTGCTGTGACAATATGGACAATGACTAGGGATGATAGGAGAATTGATGCCTTTGATCTGTGGTGCTGGAGAGGAGTACTGAATATGGAATGGACAGCTAGGAGAACAAAAAAGTTTGCCCTGGAGAGAGTGAAACCAGGCTGCTTCTTGGAGGCAAGGATTCTGAAGCTCTGTCTGACATGGTTTGAGCATGTTGCAAAGAGGGACCAGTCCTTGGAGAGAGATATCATGCTTAGAAGAATGGAAGGACAGTGAGGGAAAACCGTAGATGAGCTGGACTGTCTTAGTTAGTGGGGTCATGGGAGTGAGCATGTCAGAGACAATGAGGTAGAACAGCAACAGGATAGAACAACAGGATAGAACAGATTCAGGGATGTTATACATAGGACAGTTATGAATAGCAAGTGACTTGACAGCACTTAACAACAACATTGTTGTTACATATCATAAAGCTGGATTCTCCAGTGGATGAACCTACAGTGGGTTTTCAGAGGCAGCTGATCTAATGGGAGGAGATTGCCCATTTTGCTCCTGTGGAACAGCTGGTGGGTTTGAACTGTGTACCTTTATTGTGCAGCTTCTTACCACTAGGCTAGAGCATTCTTAACATATTATAGAAATATTTATTATTTACTTGAACACTGTATTACTTGTTCAAGAAAAAAAAAGGAAACACTTGATAAATCTTACTCTCAATTAGAAACACGGTTTCAAACATTTATGCCCGTGAGACTTTGAAATGAAAGCATAGAAACAGCCCTAAAAGCCATCCTGAA